GTTTTGTTTGCAGCTTACAGACACTCGGAACTGTTGGGCTGTATTATTTTCATGCATCTGATTTTTTTTTTTCCTTTTCTGGAACACTGCAAAATACTACTCAAGTTTGATTATATACAAATCTTGATGGACGATAAAAGAGAAATTATGTTCATGGATATCATTAGGTTATATTTTTCCCTTTATCTCGAGCAAGAAAACCCAAACCACGCAGATGTTACGTTTTTTCTAGACTTATCTGCATCAGAAATCCGAAACCCAATCTAGCTCGATAAAAGTCCTGGATTTGATGTATAGAAAATATGAAAGCGACACACGCAAGCAAACACATGCCCCATTACCCTCAAATTAAATCATATATTTAATTTACGGGTCTAATCCACTATCACGTCGATCCTCCGCCAATTATAATCTTATATATAGAAAAATAATAGCAGGGATCGATTTTTCCACAAATTCGTACGGCAATAAAGAATTAATTGAGATCTGGTTGGCCGCAAATTAAACGTGGATTAGTTATCCATCTCTCTCTCTGGATACCATTATTTGGAGCCTGGACGAAGTGAAGACTACAGGCGGATGTTTAATCCCGCATAAAGAACGAACTTTTTGGAGGGGAAAAATTAAAAAATACTACTTTTTTTTATTTAAAAATATAAAATATTTTTAATTTTTTAAAGTGTAATTATTATTTTTTAAAAATATTTTTATTAATAATAATTTATATTTATTATAATATGTTTAATAAAAATAAATATAAAAAAATAAAATTAATTTAAAAATAAATAATAATTTTATTAAAAATATTTTATATTTTTAAATGAAGAGTTTATATATCTACACACACAAGATATTGATAAAGGTGGCGGAGGAGAAAAAGGCGTGGGGAAATGACTCAGCACAGGGCAAATGAAAAGGCGCGAGAAAATTTGCCGCCACACACTGATCGACAGGACATATACCGCCTTTGAAATTGGAAGGCCATCTTTTGTGTCTCTTATATTGTGCCTGTCGTTGTTTCAAAATGAACATGCCAGTTCCACGGCCATGGGCCCTCCACAAAACTTATCGGCACATAATTTGCTTTTCCGAATGTAAGTTAATTCTGCTAAGCAGTCTTATCCGTCAAGAGTCTAATATCGAGAGAATTTATTAATTTGGACGAAACTCGAGCCTTCTAATTACTCGAGGTATATGTGTGGGAGGATTTAACGAGGTAATTGATATTTTAAATTGCGATCGGAGAAATTGACCATGGGTGTTTATTGTTTAATCTGGTTTTGTTTTAAATTGCCACAACTGGATCAGATTCCACTCTCTCTCTCTCTCAGACTCTGACCATCTTCACAAGTGTGATTTTCAGAGGGGTGGTACACGTGTCAGCTTTAATGCATGCACGAACATGTTCGTGTGTCTTCGGCTTCTTATCTTCTTTATTTCTTTTGTCTGGGTGCCGTACGGTCATGTCTTCTTGTCCGTTTGGATAATGCTCCTTGGATCTCATTTATAAATTATATTTTAAAATGTTTATTTAATTTTACTTCTAAATCATAGTGCAATCTTTTAAGTAATATTTAAAAAATATTTTTAAAATTATTTTTTATAAAAAATAATATAACATGATTTTTTAAATTCATTATGTAAGAATATATTTAAAATTTTATATACTTTTATTCATTATTTGTATTGATATTAATAAAATTAATAAAAATAATTTATAACCTACGACTACAAGAGTGAAGTGTTTTTTGAGAGTAAATTTTACTTTGACAGCTTTAATGGTGAAAAACATGAACTCCAAAGAGGCCGTCGCTATCAGGGTGTCACCCCTCAGACTCAGTCCATCTTAAACATGTACTATACTTCCGAGTGTTCAACAAAATCTAATTACTAGTACATGTTTTATGCTAGCTTTTCACTAATCATATGGATTTGATTAGTCGTTAATTGAAACCGAGCGTAGCAAATGACAGTTGATGCATGTTGTGGACAGCTAGTCAAGGAAATTTTCGGCGCCAGAATTCCCCCGACAAGTGTCGCAATTGCACTGAGTTTTTTTTTTTTTTTTTTAAATTTGAAGCTGCAAATCCCAGATTCTACCTGCTTCTTTTTGAGATTACTCAGGATCTCAACCTACAGTCCTTGGTCTTGCTGGTTGGTACTCGTGCCACCACCACGCACCCTCCACCATATCTGTACCCAACATCACAGTTCTATCACCTCGTCCTCTTATTGCTATGTCCACCCTCTTTTCTCATGAAATTAACAACTTTATTAATCAACGATCAACACCTGTAAAAAAAAAAAAAAAAACTGCTAGGTGCCTCTATCTAGTCCACACAAAATATATATGCCCATGTAAATCCTCTTGTGTGCGCGAGGTTCCAGAGTTCCATTGCTAAAGGCAAATACTCTTTAGATTTGAAATAGATACTTTATTACAAATTAAACGCAGCATACTCATGTTTTAATTAAGCTGATTATATTAATTTATGTGTTGAAATTCCATTTAACAAGAACAAGAAGTAGTGGTGATTTCAACCGAACCTGTTACCTGCACAACTTTATTTGCCTCCTTCGGGTAAAGTAAAGTAAATATCGATTATATAAATTACTCCTTTTATTTTAAATTATAAAATATTTTTAAATAAATTTTTACATATCAATAAAATTTATTAAATATATTTTATAATTTTATCTTTTCAAGATAAAAATATAAAATTTTAAAAACATCTTTAATTTAATACTTTATTAATAAAAGCATATAAAAAAATATATAGGAAAGGTAATTTTAAAAAAATTTATTAATAAAATTTTATTTTTATCAAAGTATTTTATATTTTAAAATGTTAAATTTTTTTAAAAATATTTTATAATTTAAAACAAAAGGGACATTTAGTATATAGACTGTAGAGTAAATCAAATACACAATAACGTTTTTCTGACCAAAAAAAAAACACACACGCGCGCGCGCGCAATTACGTTTTGGAGTCCGGGATGGTTCCCCTCAAGCCCTCTCACGATGCACAGGTTACGCAAATGCACCCGCTGACCCACAAATAATAAAATTCTCGATCGCCCTTTCTATTTTTATGCGTGCCTTTCAATTTTTACTTTTTTCTCCACCTGAAGAGTTTGAGTTGGAAAAAAAAAACTCGTGACAGTATGGGTTTTAGTCACATAAAATCAAAGTCTCAACTGAATTTTAACTTTACTTTCTATCATGAACACAAGCTTTTCAAATATAACTCATTTTTAAAAGGCATTTTATAATAGAGGATGTCCAATTAACTTACAAATCACGTTCTATTAATGTAACCTCTTGATATAAAATTCATAATATAGCTCACTCTTCAAAAACCGACATCCTTGACAACTCACATTTTATGTTACTTTGCTCGGCCTTTAGCAGATTGGTCCTTCGTGGCCAACTTTTTTTGAGAATGGCAATTTTTAAAGAAAACATTAATGTCATGATCACAAATTCTTCAAATGGAACTCACCTTTCAAAAAGATGCCTCATAAAAGATGTTTAGATGATTTATAAAACACACTCTATCAATACAACTTCTTAATATATGACTCATAATACTTACACCTGAATAATTAGTGGGTTAAAACTTATAAATGTTTTAGTAAGTGACAGATTTAGGACCCAGGTTAGCGGGGGTAGAATTTAATTTGGTGAGGCTAGAGTGACATATAACAACAACAAAAATTAATTTGGCCCACACATACATAACATATGCAAAAGTTGAGCTTCAAACTTCAACCACATGTTTTAATAATAATGAATCCTCTACTATCTATACTAGCTTGATTTGCTAAAAAAAATTTTAAAAAATAAATATATAAAGATCAAAATTATTTAAAACTATATAAATAATTTCAGTAAAAATCTACAAAGATTTAAAAGTAAAATAAATGATATACTAAAAACATAAGAACTAGGTACGAGAATTATTCTAAAATCTTAATTCTCTTTTTAATTCATATTACAAACATAATGATCTTATCGCCAACCTCGCTTATTTCAATATCTTAAATCTAAGTCCCAAGTCTAATTATACTTTATATTACCCTGACAAATTCTACACCCGAACCTCTCAAATAAATCAACATGGTTCATTGTCATTTTTCGCTTCCTATTTCTTTCCCTTTCCTTGAATCTCGGTTGATCATAGGATTCGAAATTAACATATTAGCGCCACAAATTAAAACTCAGTTCTGATGTAGATCAGGTATCAAAATACATGTAGCACCGCCCCTAATTTTAGTCTATCTAATACGTTTATAAATATTTTTCCAAGAGAAATAATTGAAAAAACATTACTTTTAATCTCCGCATTTTATTTGAATTTATGTATAAGTTCTTGTATTTTATTATTGATATTTTAAGTTTCTACACTTTTTTTATTTACAATATTAATCATTTTATTTTTAAAAGGATGTTAACGTGACATAAACAGTGTTACTAATGTTGACATGTCAATTAATATCATTAATTTTATGTTTATGTGTCAAACTGATATCGACATAAAATTTTTTATTAAACAAAAATTAACAAAAAAAAAGCCTATATCAGATGAATCAGGAAGATTGACCTTGAATTTTTTAAACAATAAGCAAAACACATAAATTTTATGTAGATTTTTTTTAACAAAATTTTTAAAAATTTTTGCTCATTGAGAATTCCATATCAGCATTGATTTTACATGCAAATATGAAATTAATTGTGTTAATTGACATGTCAATATGTGACATATCAATGTTTCTTTAAAAATGCAAGAACTAATATTATGAACGAAAAAAAAAACTGTAAAAGCTTGAAATATTAAAAATAGTATAGAAATTTATATTATAACTTGAATAAAGTATTGGGATCTGAAATAATTTTGTTCTAAAATAATTTTATAAGTATATGCGAAAATAGCGCCCAAGCAAACAGGCGGAGGTTGAAGAAAATTGAAAAATCGAAAGAGATAAAACAGAAAACCCAAACCCCCACACACCCATTCTGCCAGAGCCTAATTCGTAGCCTCCGCTTCTCGGCTCCCATTTGATTCCCAACAAACAGACTAACCCCCCTCTCCCCAAAAGCTCTCTCTCCCTCCCCGCTCTGAGTTTCAACCTTCAGTCCCTCTCCCCCAACACCATGGGCACCTCCATCCTCGACGCTCTGAATGTCCGCGTCGAAGGCTCTGGCGACAAAGTCCTCGTCCTCGCCCATGGCTTCGGCACCGACCAGTCCGCCTGGCAGCGAATCCTCCCTTACTTCACTCGCCGCTTCACCGTCATTCTCTACGACCTCGTCTGCGCCGGCAGTGTTAATCCTGACCACTTCGATTTCCGCCGCTACACCACTCTGGACGCCTACGTCGACGACCTCCTTGACATTCTTGACGCTCTTCGCGTCACTCACTGCGCTTACGTCGGTCACTCCATCTCCGCCATGATCGGAATGCTCGCATCCATTCGCCGACCCGACCTCTTCACCAAACTCATCCTCATCGGTGCTTCTCCCAGGTGACGATCCCCGATCATCATCCTCTCGTTTCCCTGCCTTTAATTACTCTTTCCACCTTTAATTTGCGCCCTCCTTTTCAGATTCCTAAACGACAGCGATTACCACGGAGGATTCGAGGAAGCAGAAATCCAACAAGTGTTCTCTGCAATGAGGGATAACTACGAAGCGTGGGCGAGCGGCTTCGCGCCTCTGGCAGTCGGAGCGGACGTGCCGGCGGCGGTCCGAGAATTCACGAGGACCTTGTTCAACATGAGGCCCGACATATCGCTATTTGTGTCTCAGACGGTCTTTAACAGCGATCTGAGAGGGATTTTAGGTTTAGTGAAGGTGCCGTGCTGTATTATGCAGACGGCAAGGGATGTCTCAGTGCCGGCATCGGTGGCGACGTACATGAAGGAACACTTGGGCGGTCGGACCACGGTGCAGTGGTTAGACACGGAGGGTCACCTTCCTCATTTGAGTGCTCCTGCCTACTTGGCTCGCCAGCTCGAAATAGCCCTCTCACAGTAGCGCGTGCCCCCCGCAGGCGCGTGTCTTTATTAGTAAGTTCGTGGATAGATAGATCCTGCAACTATAGGCTCTAGAAGCTAGAGGTGCAAGCAGAAGAACCATTTCTTTTCTTAATTGCGGTGGTGTTTATTTTTGTAATTGAAGAACAGAGGTTTGACTTCAACTTCACTCGAAGCAGAAGGGTCTTGTGGAGAATTGTAGTTTGTATTGAATTCACCGGGGCTGGACACGTGGCGAATGAGCTGTGGACTACGTTGGGCTGGGGTGGTTGCTTAGGACGTGTGAAGGGATAAGAGCCGGCACGTGTTCATCGCCTGATGCGTGTGGCGCCATTTGTTTTTATAGTAAGTAATTCGTAATTAATATTTCAATATATGCTTTCCTTTTTATTTTTTACAGTCATTCCGTGATAGGAGTGTCTTCCGGCTTTAGATATTTTCCAGTGTATAATAAATAAGTTAAACAACATTGGCGACCCAAAAATTGAACAAAATTTAAGAATAAGATGGTTGGGGAATAACATCAAATGAACATTAAAAAGGCGGAAACCTTATAAATTTTATATTAAATAGCTGGAGAATGTGTCATGTGATCCTTTTGGAGCCATAATCCTAAAAATGAGAGACCCACCTTTGGATGGGGGTCGGCCTGCAACGTGACTCAATATCTCACTTTTAACTCGTGTAGTATATGATGGTAAAAAAAAAAACTCTTCTGTAGCATACCGCAATTTAATTGGTATTATCTTTTTGCTTTTTGTATTTTTGGGAGAAAAAAAATCTTTGTTGTAACCAGAATCTACTCTTTATACTATGAAAACACGTTGATCCAAATTTTTTTTTATAAAACGCACATCAACAAATAACATGTACTTCATTCCTTACAAAATATAAAATATTAAGTATTTTTTGAGAAGTTGGATATTAAAAAATGTAAAGTATTTTTAATTTTTAGAGATGTAATTATTGTCTTTGTTTTTCTTCAAAAGTGTTTCTATTGATGATGATGTTATATTTATTGTAGAGTGTTTAATAGGGGATAAATATAAAAAGATAAAGTTAATTTAAAAATAAAAAATTATTTTATTGTGATGAAATTTTATTAAAATATTTTATATTTTTTAATGGAAGAAGTATATATGATAGATAAATTGTACAGTATGGTTCATAAAGATAAAAATTCAAACTTTTTTAACATCTCTTACTTCTGCCAGCAAATCTGATTGATGCTGGCAGAAGAAAGAGATTCATTTTTGACTCTATTAAAAAAAATTGAAGGAAAATTGGAAGATCAAGGATCTCTCCTACTCCTACGCTCACTGTCCTTAAATTTGTCTCTCTCTTGCATCTATCATCTATCTTGCACTGGTTGGCCGCTCCTTGTCCGGAAAACAATTGATAGCCTTTGCAGCAATTTCTTCGGAAAAAAATCCGTACACCTTTCTAAATGGGAAAATCTTTGCAATGATGTGAAGGATGGAGGTTTAGGCATTCGTCAATTGGTAAGGTTAATGATTCTTTCCTGGCCTAACAAATTTGGAGAGTTCTCTTCTCAAAACTCCCTTCTTTTCAACACTCTTAGACCTAGTTTGGAATGCAGGAATCCTAAACATGGAGTCAGAATTGGAAATGGATTCCAAGTTGGAGCATGTTTGTTAGACTAGAATTGTGATTCTTAGGAGTTCTGATTCCAGCAAAAAGGCTTGAATTGGATTCCATCCCTATAGCCATGGAATTGGTCTGATTTCATGGAATTCCCCTCATAACCCTCCATCTCTCAGTTGCTTCCTCCCCTCCCTACTTCTGATGATGGTGATAGGTGACACGGGCAACAAGAAGCTTTCCTTCTTTCCTTTTCGGCAACGAACAACAATAGAGCACTCTACTTCTCTACTGTTATTCCGTTTTGAGTTGACAATCCAGTTGGTTTTGAAGTCTTAAACGGAGAAGACTCAATAGACTTTTTCAATTACCTCCCACTCGCCGCTTCCTCTTTGGTGTTCATCAAGCAAATTAAATATCGTTGCCCTCTAGTTCGTTACTATTATTCCGTTTTGTTTGAGGTTCATCGTTGCCTTCTGCTGGTTCTTGTGCCATCACCATTGTCGTCGTGTCTCTATCTGTTCGCTAATGGAGAAGAAAAAAAGAGAGGGTTTAAATAATTCATGGAAGAAGCAAAAGAAGACTCACGAGCATATAGAACGACCTTATATCAAGTCCATCAATCCGAACCTTGGTCTGTCGATGACAGCGGAAGGGCAGTGCTCATGACCATTGAAGGCATTTTATTTTCGGTTAAAAGGGGCACTTTTGTCTTTTCCAACTTTAAATAGGCATATTATTACAATTAAAATTATATCAATATTCTATCTTCATATCAGACATATTTTTATAATCTAATTCAATCCCAATTCTAATTTCAGTTTTATTAAAAAAATTTTATCATACTAAATGAGGCCTTAAAGTTAAATATCTTTCGGGTTTTATTTATAAGTCACATTTTAAAAAGTTCATTTGAATTATTTGAAAAGTATTTTTAAAATTATTCTTCATGAGAGAAAAAAATAACATAAAATCACTTTTTAGATTTATTATATAAGAACATATTTGAAATTATGTATACTTTTATTCCTTATATTTTTTTGTATTAGTATTAATAGGATTGATAAAAACAACTTATAAAGCTAAACAGAAGAATACTTCAACTGACAAATTTGCTCATTCTCATTACAATGCTTCTTGGATGTGGAAGGGTGTTCTCAAAGCCAAAGATATTGTCCTTAATCATCAGGAGTGGTCATTGTTATTCCATTCCTCTTAATCACCCCCTCAAGGTGGCTCATGCAAGTAGACAATTGTAACCTTGTCAATACCAATGACAAAGTTGACAGTCTTATTTTGCATAATTTCTCCTTTCCGAATCGCCAAAAAATCTTCACTCTTTATGATAAAGACAATGTGGTTGCCATCCTTAACGCTCCTTTCTCCTTCTTACAGACTCAAAATCATCTTTTCATGGAATCTAAACTCAACTGGTGAATATTCTATCAAAAAGGCTCTTAAAGATTTTCCTACTGATCCACGTTCTTTCAACCTTAATTGGAAACGCCTTTGGGAACTCCACTTACCCTCCAAATGCATTCTATTTTCTCGTAATCTCATCCATAAATGCATTCCTGCTGGATATATTATGAACCTTCATCACCTTGCAAATAATAACAGTTGTGCTTTTTTGATGCAACTCCTTATAATCCATAAATCACCTATTCATTCATTGCATCTTTACAGGGACTATTTGGTTTGGTGTCATCTCATAATGGATGGCATTCAGCCCCTTGATTCCTCCCCATGGTTAATGTATTTGTTGTCAACCCTTTTTGATGATTCTCAATTTCTATGTCTTCTCATTATCATTGCTCACACACTATGGACAAAAAGAAATGAAATCATCCACTCCAAAACCCTTTTTAATCCCCCTCTCCATTAGCCGCCATCAAGATCATTCTCTCCATTCATAACTACTTCCCTTTCAGCTTTTCGCAAAATAACATTCAAACCAACCACTCCATTCCTAATCCATTCGCTACTCCATCAAGATCATCAATATTAGCTGCCCCTCACAATTCTAACTGGAACTTGCAAGTCTGTGAAGGGGAAAAAAAGGAAAATAAACTTGGCTTCTTATTGCTTCCTTCGGGAACTATTCCCCTAGAGTTTTTAAGTGGAATTATCATCCCATTAAATACACAACCCAAGTCTTTCGGCTCCAAGAATGGTTCTTCATTGGATCATCTCTGCTCAGGAGTCCTCAAATAACAGAAGCACAAGATTGTTTGGTCAGTGTCGCAAGAAAAAATTAGTTGTCCCAAGCCTTCTTTTGAAGGACAATCTGCATTCTATGACTGAATGGGACATTTATCTTTGTAGTTGTCACTTTTGAAGTTTTTTTTTTTCGATTTTTTCTTTTGGTAATTTTCCTTATGATATTTTCCTTGCTTCACCTACCTTCTATTCTTACTCTTCGATTAATGCAAATTGTCTCAATAGTAAAGGTACAAATTTGGCCACATATTATTTTTTGAGGAGCATCTGGTAATTTAAATTATTAGATGATGCAACATAAATCATGAATTTTAAAAAATGGAGCAATTGACGGACGTTATATGAGGCTCATAATGACAAGTGGCATGACACGAGCATGACACGTTAGCATGGTAAAGGTGTAAATTTAATTATGAACTATTTTTTGAGGAGCGTTGGATAGCCTACACTATAAAAAAAGAACAATCCAACATATTTTTCTCAATTTTGACTGAACACCGTTTATCTTCACACTTACGAGACGCATAAAATATTAATATCTTCAATCTTCTTGCTTTTGTTCTCAATCTTAGCTTGAGAAGAAGAAGTTCAAAGAGTTATTATCTGAAAACATTTGCAAAAATAATGTTAACAAAGTAGAAGAAATAATTCGTGACTAAATTAAGCTAGAATCAAGCTTTTCTCATTTGTAATAAAATCAAGCTTCTACTTTATTGTCATCGTCCTTGTAAATGTTTTTAGATAAAAACTCATTAATCCTTTTCTTTTGGAGCTGATATTGAGAACGAACGTGAGAAGATTGGAGAGTTTAATACTTTATGGGCCTCATGAGTGTGAAAATAAACGATGTTTAGTCAAAATTAAGAAAAATGTGTTGAATGGTCTTTTTTTTTTTATAATAAAGGCTACTTAGTGCTCTTCAAAAAATAGTTTGTGACTAAATTTATATATTTACCATGTTGACATGTCGTGCCACATGTTATTGTGGGCCCTACATAACGCCTGTCAGTTGAAGTTAACAGTGGGCTATTGGATGCTCCATTTATTAAAGTTCTTAATTTATTTTGCATCATCTAATAGTTTAGACTGCTAGATGATCCTCAAAAAATAACATATGGCTAAATTTGCTACTTTATCCTAATATAAAAAAAATTAGATTATATATTACAGGTGCTGATCTTAAATGAGTTAGTTAAAGATAATTAATGAACTAAATTTTTTTCAAAAATTGTACTCTCTCTCCAAATATTTTATTTCATTTAATTGAAAAAAAATAGATAATGTGTAGGCTATATTTACTCACTCACTTTTACATTAACTAGAGTTGTCCCGTGTTGCATGGATGAGGAGTTTATCAAATTATCAAACTAATGAATATTTCATATTTTTTAGTTATTGACATAAAGCAATATGATAAATGGACATGGTAAAGTAACTTGATAAAGGATGAGAAATACAATGATAGTCTAAGAATAAGACTTTGATAAGATATACATTATTTACAAATTGATTGAGAAAATTACAATGTGACTCATATTTAATAATGGCTTATATTTAAGATTGGAGGGGGCAT